CATATGACATCTATGTACCAAGTTTTATTGAAATGTTATGATTAGAAAATTGATTAATCATTATGCAAATTAGATAATTAATATAAACAGATTTTTACCCAAAATCCAATGAGTGGTTCTTCAAATATCAGTGGAACAGTCATGGAACAGCTTAAAATCAGGTAATTATCATGCAAATTAGGTATTTAATATTCATAGATTTTTACCCAAAACAAATCAAATCTGCGCATTAGTTCAAAGCATCCATGTGCCAAGTTTCATCAAAATCCAATGAGTGGTTCTTCATATATCAGTGGAACAGTCATGGAACAGCTAAAAATCAGCTAATTATCATGCAAATTAGGTAATTAATATTCATAGATTTTTACCAAAACCTAATCAACTCTGCGCATTATCCCAGAGCATCTATGTACCAAGTTTCACCAAAATTTGATTAGCGGTTCTTGAGATAACGGTGGAACAAAAAAAGTGACATACATACATACATACATACAGACATACAGACATACAGACATACAGACAGGGTAACTGCAAAGACTCCCTTTTGTGCTTCGCACACGGGAGTCAATTAGATATAAAGACATCAATATACAAGAGTGAGAACAACCGTTCGTGAAAACAATATATTTTATGTTTTAAGTTGAAATGGCAAAAGAAGATAAACCACAGCAGAAAAAATAAGTCTACAAAACTAAACATTTGCGAATTTTGAGACAGTCTTCACCTTGCCTATTGATTAAAGCAGTACTGAGTAACAGCGCCCTCATGTGTCGAAAGTTGTTTGAGCAAGTTACTAGTACATAATTCATGAACAGAACTCACATAAGATTTCACCTTGTCATAATGTTTAAGAGTTTAAAGTTATCTTTTGATATATTTTCAAAACAAAAAGAACTGCATCTGAAAATGTGGCAATGACCAAGTACATAAACTAATGTAAAATAGTCGCCATGTGATGGCGCTATTTCTCATACTAAATACTAGTACCGTAAAATCTGTATTAGAAGCCGCATCCCTAATAGAAGTCGCATCCATTCTATTTGAATAATTGAGAACCAAAAATTCATCATTTCTCATATGTGTAGATGCTCTAATAGAAGCCGCATCCCCTCTGTTGCATTCTACCATTTTAATAGAAGCCGCGGCTTCTAATACAGATTTTACAGTACTTTACCACGTGTCTGCATACAAGCAATATGAACTGTAGAGGGCGGCAACAATCTAACACAGTTCAAACAAACCAAAAAAAACACCACCCACATTGCAAGTGATTACACCCCAACAATTACTAATTAAAATCCATTTTAAAAAATCAAAATGCCCTTGAACTTCCAAAGGAAAGGATCTTAAAAAATGACCCATGACATCACCGTCAAAGAATTCATGTTAAAACTACAATAACACTGCAGTAAACATAACTCTAATCAATTCCCACTTTATCTTCTCACTCAACAAAAAAAAGAAGCTTTCTTTAAACCAAAAATAAAAAAAAATCCAACACTATGAGCTTTATAACATGCTTTCAAGTGAAAATGAATGCCCATTATTGTTGCCATCATACTATTAAAGTTCAGATTTTTGTGGTCTTTTTGACGTACCTCCTATCGTCAAATTAAACCGACAATAGGATAAGTACCTTTCTCACACCTTGATGTTCTTCATATATCCTATTATTAATGTGGAAGAGCCAGAATTCACACCACGTTTTAGTTAGACAAAGTCTGAATATTCCCCTCCAAGAGTAAACCGACCCACAGATGAAGTGAATGTGCCCAACTCACAATCAAGTCACTTGGTATAAAAGTGTTATCAGAGAAATCAATAACACAAACGTACATAGTTTTGATAAAGTAACTATTGTCTGCATGCCTGCACTGTCAGTGTCACTCTCTCAAGCGGTCATGGGGTAACGCTTACATCGGACACTAAAAACACACTTAGTTGAACCCGTTAAATAACAACAAAAACACATTTCTCTTTTTGACACCCTCTCTAATCTGAAAGTTTACAACAAATAACTTGCCTGGGGGGATGGTGCTACAATAAAACGATGAACTTACAGCAATCAAATCTCCTGATCTCGACACTGTACGGGCATAACAATGGCCATTATTATGTATTGTCTAATAAGCAAATTCAATTTGTTGGGTAGGGAAGTGCTCATAAAAAGATGTAAACCTTTGTCCAAACCATAAAATTTCAAGGATAAAATTTAACTGGGGGTGGAAATGCCGGAAACATACTGAAGTCTACTTGTCTTAACCGCTGCGCTCAGCTAAGGGTTAGTGCCTGTATGCTCCACTAAGACACAATGACAAGATATAAATCAATATAACCCTCAATATCAGGTTTGACAATACAATAAAAGAAGATAAATAAATCATGAAGGCTCAGTGTTCCCATAAATATTTAACACAAAATAATCTTCAATGAATGTTTTGCTTTATTTGTCTATGAAATCTGATACTGATACGATAGGCAATAAGCACAGCTACCAGTACATGGAATTGGCGCTGAGTTTTATCATCTATAAATAAATCAAGACACTACATTTTCCTGTGAAATTCCAAGTCTTTGATTGATCAGTTGAATATGAGAAAAAAATCAGAAAAGATCAGATTAGATTTTCATCTGAACAAAACAAAAAAACTTTAGCGACCCTACTTTTAATAAATTGCAAGTAGTTTGTATTTTTGTTTCAAATTTAATGAAAGGAAACTTTTTACAACTTTGGATTAAAATAGACAGTGTCAGAAAATAAAAAAAAAACTAACTTTAAAAAAAATACAATCTTTCAATTCAAACCAAAGTTGGGACATCAATATCAATAAAAGTACCGGGTAATTGTGTTCCGATGCAATTAAACCAAATAATGTGTGATGGTTAAATGATCAAAAATTGACGAATGAAATGATTTGGAACTATACTGTTTGATAGCATTGTAGCAATTAAGCAACATAGTTTTTTCTTACTTCCCAGTCATATCAGCATTACGGTATATTATATTTCTGTAATAATTTTATTTATGTTTATATAAAGTGGCAATAAATTGTAAATGCAAAAATCATGGTATTGCTCAGTACACACATGGTTAGACAGTACATCCCAGTTATATGTACATATACCAATCGGCTGTGTAACTAGGGATAAACACAGTGGCTGTGGGCTATCAGTTTAGTACCCATAAAAAGGTTAGAGTGGAATGAACACAACACATTTACCCTCTGGGTATAACACTTTAAAATATCCAGCTGTTAAGATATACTGGTCTCTGAAATGACCTTTGTTGACCTTAAAACAGTATGGTTTGATGCTTGGAAGAGAGGTAAATAATGTGGTCTGGGTTTTAGAGTAAAAATCTGATGTCTTTGAGTTCGAGCACGTCTTGTGTTTCACTATTTTATAATTAGAGACCCAATTATCAAACGCCATACCGAGGCCAGCCAGGGCATAGATATCAACATGGGGGACAAATACCATATTTCTATCATCAAAACAAGAGAGTTATTGGGAAAGTCAGAATTACTACAAACAATCAGATCAACAGTCAAACAACTGGGACCGTCGTCAGAACCAAATGTAGTTCCATCACTTGCGAAATCTGCACAAATGGTCGTTAAAGTCATGAATTGTACAATGATGATGATCATGACATTTTATTGACACTTTGAAAACACTAATTAAAAATGGGCTGGAAGTAAATAAACTCACTCAGAAAATATTACACATGTGTTATTCATTGTAGATTATGACAACATTCCACGAAATTGAGAAGCCTGAACCAAACCACCATACGTGATATATCACTGCACAGTAAAATTGTATGTATACATATACTTTAGGATGAACACAAATAAACCACATTTGCCAAAACACTAAGTATTATTTCATAGAAATATTGTCTTGAGCTACACGAATAAATCACATGCATACTCCAGCAAGTGTCTCTCTCACTATTGGTAACGATTGAATTTTTAGTGGACCATAAAAAACAGTTGAGGCAACACCACCAGCAAAAGCTTTCTCCAGAATTCAGCCTGTTCGCCTCGGGGGGGGGGGGACTAGTAAATGTAAATGATGCATGTCTTACCTTGTGCGAGTTTTGTTGGTGAATTGACGTCATTTCCATTTACAGCGCATAGTGAATTGGCACGTGGAAATAATGTAACAACACCGTTATCATTAACAATAATGCAGTGCTCATCATCTAGGGCAGGACCTCTCAAAACTGAAATAAATCAAAAATATAGTCATTAAAAAACAGGATTTAATCAGGTGTACCTTGACAATGCATAGTGATACAGGAGACAGAATATATATATTTTTAAATATTTGTTGTGCCAGGTAACACTTCCAGATATTGTATGTCACAGTTGCCTCTCATAACTTTTTATTTTATGTGTATTAAAATTACAAGATTTAAAATCAGAAATTATATTCCATGTTTTTTATCTTTCTATCTATTGATATTATTGCAATTCTGGCATCAACCAAACCTGGTTGAACACATGCACTCAAACCTTAAACTTTTCACCACCAGACTTCTCACCCACATTTTTCTGTACTTTTTTTCTTATATTTTCCATTATTTCTTGAAATGAACTGTAATATTGGAGCCAACAGACAAAATTTGAGTTCATTTTCAGTTTTTACTCAAAAAATTTGACTATTTTGTGTCCCAATCTTCTGAAGGAAACTGCAGACTTTTTTTCTATTTTGTCTATCAGTGAGTGAAATGTATTATTTATTTGGTGCAGCTCCTAATTTACATAATGAGCCCCTGTTACAAAAGGCAAGCAATAAATAAATAAATAAACTATTTTTTGAATTGTTGATGGAAAGAGGGAACTGATCAAGTTCAACAATCAAGCAGGTTAGGAAAAACAGAATTTTACACCAAAACCACAAGAGTTCAATGACCTTTGGGCAATACACCAACAAAAATATTTTCAAAATTGTAACCCTTGCAAAAAGTCATGTGTGGGCCGAGTATTGCTGGGTAACACAGCTGTGACTATGGCAACAACTGTATATAGTTATCACAATCTTAAACTTTGACCTACTTTTACCAAACTAAAACATGTGTATATGCTTGACACTAACTGACATTCATTGTTAAGCCAATGGGCCAAACATATTTCATTTTAGTTTTATGCAAATGAAGACATCACAAATTGGTCACCTTGCTCTTCTTTTTTAATGTATGATTATATTCTTACTCAAATAATGGTTGCTATGACAACAATCATTGTATTTTGACACATGCTTATTTGATCTCAGTCAGTTATTGAATACATACATGAATACATGAATACATAGCAAAAACTGATAATTGTTTTACATACCTATATCCTGTGTCGTCCTTGCGTCTTCTCTACCTATCCTGGTTTCGCCTTCCTGTAAAAAGCAAAGAAATTACTTTTTTAGCTTCCAGCCTATCCACCAGCACAGTTAAAATTCAATGTGTCATTGCCAACATGTACCGGTACCTAACTTACAAATCAATTATGCCCGTTTTGTTAAGTCAAAAAAATCTTCTTTGGGATTCACAACAAATTATGAAATACCACAGCAAATTTTTAAAACTTGATATTTTACATTTTAACTGTTTCACATGCTAAACAATGTTCCATCATTACGTCATTTTTACTTTTTTCATAATTTCATAAATAAGATAAACTCTACACCAGTAGAGAATATAAATGTTGTTGAGAACAAACTAAAAGAAATGGTGGTACCTTGAGATGATATATAATAATTCCTGTACTTAATAAATCATCGTCCATTCCAATGAGGTGGGGTAGCTGTGATTCAACGATGACACCGATGTTGTTTCTTCGAAATCCAACATTGCACTCCTGCGCAAGTGAAAACAATCAAATTTAATCAGTCATCAAATAGAATTAAATTAACAAGAAACCTCCCTTCCTTTCCCATATTTCACTACTGATTCTAGCATGATTTCGAGATATCAAGGATCTGATGGAAAAGTTGGGGCTCGGGACTACAATGAAGAAACATAAAAATTATAGTAGGTGGCGTGTATTGTTTTATTAATGACACAAAAGATTATGATAATAAAGTACAGTCTTAGAAATATGAGCTACGTTCTCACACGTCTAAAAAACGCCGATGTTAACACTGTTTTTTGTGTGTGCAAATATTAGATAATCTGAATTGTCTGCTCGCATTCTCACTTAGTGAAAACGCTGGTATTTTGCACTCTCAACCAATCATATCACGGAAAGGTCAATAAACAAATGGAAAGGTCAGTCGACAAAATGGCCTCCCCTCTGCTAAATGCATTTGCTTTGTTCCTGTTTTTCCGTGTGTTTTTACGCACGAGAAGAAGACAACGACGAACGATTTATCGAGATTTCGAAGAACAAGAAATCCCCAACTTGTTGGGTCAAACAAGACCGAGAAATGATCGGTACATGTTGATACAATTCGTATGTATGAATAACACAACAATAGACCCAGCATCCCTAGACGTTCCGTCCATCATTCTTTGAATATTCGATTCTCTCCATACAGATGAAGGGAGTTTGGCTCACACGGTACATTGCATTGTGCAAGAGCCGGTCTGACAACCGCATTTAAGATCTGGTTCACCCCTTTTACGACGGTGTCAAAAACGCTGACGCCACAACGGCGTATTCTGTTCACACACACATTTTAACAACGTTCTCAAATAAATGACGTTGTGACAACGGCTTATTTTGTCCAGTGAGAACACCACTATAAAGAAATTTACAGTACCTGTTGATAATATTTTCAAAATTTGAATTAGAAATATAGAACTTTCACTAAAAACTATATAAATAAATATTAATCAGTTGGTATCTCTCCCTTTTTTTTATTTTCTGATGCACATGTCAGCATCACCATTTCAACACTAAAATTCAGTTGAAAAGAAAGCAAAGTGAAAAATTATTTAGGAGTTTTATATTTACCTGCATAATGGCAGCGGTTTCTCTCCATTTGTCCACCCATGCTGAGGTCAGAAGCTCTACTTGCTCTTCATTTTTATGTAGCGTTTCAAAAATTGAGGCATCGCTGAGAAGCGACATCTGAGACCCACGCTGCATGCAAGTATATATGTAAAGGATACAGGTCAACATTTTATATAGTGGTATATAGTCACCAGACAAGAGGAAATAAATAACTTACAAACAACTGATTGTATGTGTGTATATCGAAACACAAAATCAAAATACAAATTGTTTCTGAATTTAAAATACATCCAGAGACTCAACTAAAACTAGATTAAAAGTTAGAACTCGCGGACAGTAGAGCAATTTTTTAATCTTACCATATTTGCCTGCTCTAGCATTGCTTTAAGCTTATCTATTTCAGCTCTTAGTTCCCTGATCAGTGTAACATTCCCATCCTGCAAAACAAGAAAACAAATATTGCAATGGAATGGCAAAGAGAGTCTAGGCATAGGAAAAATCATTGATTAGATATTTAATAATTTATTTCAAGATCAATTTACAGGCTTTGAGATGATTCTATTGCTATGCAACAAGGAAACTAAGGAATAACACTATCAACAGGATGCTAATCTCTCACAACTAGGATTGATGAGAGCCTTGCAAGTGAGCAGTATGTACTATACTTTGCACTGCTGAATGAGTCACTAGCAGACTACAGGAGTCAAACCAAGAATCTCTCACATAAAAGGCAGACACTGGGAATCCACATTTGCAAATTGACTGCAGAGTACATTAATTTAGTGACAATATTTTAAGCAAGAAATTACTGTGTATTTTATGTAATATAACAATCATAAATTCTTTAGTGCCTGCGGATAACAAAATATAAAATAACCCACTAGTAAGGCAGCCAACTCAAGTAAAAAAAGTAACAATATGAAACAATGTCAGCTGATAGGGATGGTTACAAAAATTGATTCTGTCTGATCTTACCTCATTTATAACTGGTTTATTAACAATATGTTTAGCTCTCTGGGCATATCTTAAGGTGCTAAGTGTTTCACTGTAACATTGACTGGCTGGAGAAATGGCTGTAACAAACAAACAAATCAAAAGGTCATAAGTCACTTCAGAAGTACATATAGACAAACATACACATATGACATTGAATTAACGTTTAGATTCCCTAATTAAATCTTAGCGTGAAACCACTTCACTTGTTAATGTTCGTCGAGGTACCTTTCACTTGTTAATGTTTGTCGAGGTACTTTTCATATAACTTAGCAACAAGTGACGTTTCGTGAAAATACCTCTCCCAATTGGCAGAAAATTATTAAATGTTCTGGCTTGAAATACTTGAACTACCATTGAGCTGAGGAATTTCTAAAATGAAGATGTTTTATTTAATTAACAAAAACAGAATGGATATAAAGAGCAGGCAAATACCTCTGTAATGTATTTGCCATGAATGCGAGCAAGTCATGGTGTCAGTTATTAAAAAAAACATACCGTGGGTGAACAGTATCTGAGAGAAATTCAAAACTATCATGAACTAACATGCATGTGAACTACGTAGTTACGATCAGGTGTTCAGTGGATAGGGAACCATTGTGTTGTCTCACACACCTGTGTTACACGAAACATTAGACCAAACACCCATCACTAAACTCTCAACAATGGAGTTCACGGGTATATAAAGAGAGCAATTTTTGTTTCCGTACCTTCATTTTCTGGGAAGTCGGAGGAGATGTCAGAAGATTCGTCAGAGGACGACATAGTTGTCTGCGCCATCGAGAGTGGTGGCTTTGTAAACTATCTACAAGCAGTTTGTGCTAATCTATTTGACCTTTGATCTGAGCCATGGCCTAAATTGTCAATATTTGTATACAACCATGTCAGTGGGAATTTACGATGACATAAAATTTCACTTTTATTCTGAATCAAAAAATGACATCAACAGATAGATAACGAGCCACATGCATAAAATATGGGGGAAATATAAATGATAGGTTTTGACGTATGCAAATATAAGCAAATAATGTAAACAATATTAAAGATCATTGGTGTGATAACAGCGTTATCAGTCCTTCAAATATCCTTGCACTAGCAACAGGTTCTTATACCTCCACCATATTGGATTGGATTATTTCGACTCTCATTGGACTATTTCAACTCTCATTAATTACGTAAACTTTGCAAATAAATACCATAAAGTTTAAAGATGTTGGAATCCTGGGGCTGATCTCTGGAATTCTGTGACTGATCCCTTTGATCCCAGCAGCTGTACACTTTATTATAACTATTTTATAGGTCTAACCCTCCTTCTACTCAATAAACATAAATTGATAAATCACATAAATTTGACTAAATACTTGCAAGGAAAAAAAATGGCGACAAAAAAAAATATTAAAAGACAGTGTCAGGGGTTTTTGTCTGATTGAGTGAAATACCCTACCCTTTATTTTTACAATAGGGAGTATTGACCTATAAACCATCACACCCATATGGGTCTGCAACACTGAAAAGGGCGGGTCAAACAATAGCTTTGTACTTTTTCAAATACACTTTATCGTCAACAATATTGTATTATCCACTTTTTTTTTGAACAAGCAATTTACCTATATCCCATTTGCTCTATTAGAAGTGCATTCTTAATAGAAGGGCACAATAACCAAAAATTATATTTATAGTACAGTCAACTTTTAAAATGTGTTTACTATTATTTACATAAGCACATGCGCTACTAATAAACTAAATACTGTAAGTAGTATTCTGTCATTACAGAAAATCAGAATAATTGATAATTGACATCAGGTTCAACAACCAGATATAAACTGATATCTATTTTACAATGTGGCATTACCCATTTTAAGGTTGTACTCTCAGATACTTTTATTTTTTTAGTATTTATAAGTGTTTTGGGACAATCATAGATTATACTTGACAAAATCAATGTTTGCAGGATGTGTCAGTAAGCGTTTGGCAAAACGTTTGGTGCCAACCAAATTTGTTTTTGAATGATAACATAGGGATCTCTGATAATAACAAATTAGTCAGCAGTCAAAGTAAAAAATCTTATCAGCTAGGTGTCTGTATTTTCTCATTATTGAACTCTGTTGTTCATCGGCATTAATCTATTATTATATATCATTCAGTCCCCAAAATAACCAACCAACAAATTACAACATTTTTTATTGCAAACATATTCACCAAATATGTCACTTACAAATCCGAATGAATCTATTGAACTGGACTCAAAGAACACCAACAACTAATGATTTCATTACTTACTTGCTATCATAATAGTCTTAGCATTGCCACCAAGACTATCTTTAAGTAACCAAGTTAATACTGAGTTACGGTAAGGAATGTACGTATTTTTTCGTCTGCCTGTATTTCTCGGACTTGCGTCCTCGTCACTATTACCAAAGCTGGAAAAGCTCTCCACACTCACTGAGGCAGAAAGGGAAGTTTCAGCTACAGCAAAAAAAAAATATATATATATATATATAATAGAAACAAGTAATTATTGTATTTTTGTTCAATTAAATTGTCTAAAAAATGTGAAAAAGTAAAACGTCTGGGGTAAAGATATAGAAGAATCATGCAAATATCTATAATAATAAATATATTATAAATATACAAATTATACACAACTGTATTGTGTAGTGTCCAATTTTTAGAAGAATTAATTTATTAATATTGATTAGCTGTTTTGCATAATGACCCTCATTTCTATATAGAGCATGCATTTGGATACATTCTCATTACGGAAGTTATGAGCCCCTGGAAATGACCCTAAACAAGTATGACAACCAAACACAGTAACATACATGTACATGAAAAAAAGAAAAATATTTTTGAAATTGAAATTCACATCCCCTTTCAGATCAATACATTTGTAATCACTATAAAAACAATAACACAAAGGAATTCAGTGTATCACAAAATGACAAAACATGTGCATCTACAATAGTGACAGTGCAGCCAATATAAAAAAAAACAGCTAATAATATTAACACATTGTCTGCTGAGAGTCTCCATGGGTAGCCTATATTAATGGTATATAACAACGTCAACAGGCAATGTGGCAATACAACATTATAAACATGCACTAAAACCGAAAGGAACTGCAGTGTCCAAATAAATATTATACGTTGGAAGCATGAAAAAATGAAATGTGAATAAAACAGACTACTAAATTGAGTTGGTAATGGCAGCATGCATTAAGAGTGGAAAAAGTGCATTAACAAGAGAAGGAATTACAGCTTAATGAAACGGCAATCTGGGATTTCTGAAATCCTAAAACTTTATTTGCTTTTGCTGATTGTACATTGAGCTGCTTGCTACCTACTACCCTTGGCAATTCAGTCAACTTATATAGACTGGCGTACTACATTGCGTATTTGTGGTGGCAGCGTAATCGTAGCGAGAATCAGACACTCCTTACCTAACCAGTCACTCTCTCCTGCAATGTTGCATGATGGGAAGTATAAATAAACCCAAAGTGGGGGGAATATTAAAGGATGAAAGAGAGAGAAAGAGACAATGTTACTCTAATAGATCAGGGGGGACAAGATTATTGGATTATTGCACTGAGGATTAAATCACACATGGATTAGAAAGGAGAAATCATGACAGATTAATGGTTAGATTACGATGCAGCATACGGTGAATGAACGTAACACAAAACAATTCACACGTAGTACTCTGAAGAAGCGATCCATTTTCATTTCAGCGAGCAGAACAGATTTCAATAAATTATCATTTTAATACTGAGGTCACAACTCATTAACGATTTGAAGTATGTTACTCCAGAAAAATAATAAAAGTGACCTTATTCATTTCATTTACGTATAGTATATTTGACCTGCAACAGAAGATATACGATGAAAATGAACACACGAAAGACATCAAAGACGGCACACCCTAAGCAACCCACGCATGAACTCTTGTTGGTCAGTAGCCATGGGTACAGACATCTAGACAGTGCCTTCAACATGAATTATGTTCACTACATGCAGGAGATCAATATGAACTCTTTCATCAAAAGAGTTGTCCACACCCTGTTACAATGCTATACATTGTACGTCAAATTGATGCGTTTTAAATGAAAAATTACAGAAAGCAAAAATACAGAAAATTTCAACATTTCAGGAAAAGAAAAAGCTATACTGTAAAATATTTTCGCTTGGAATTTACTTTAGCTATTTTCGCTGAGGGATAATTCAGTGAATAAAATTCCAGCGCATATACCCTTTTACTTATATTTTACATTCAACTCATCAAAAACCAGTGAAAATAAATCCCAAACAAAACACCCGAAAAGTATTTTCAACGACACTTAATTCCAGCTAAAATAAAGTATTTTTTAGTAAACAATATGAAGTGGGAGACACTGGTCAAGGTAGAACGTTGAAATATTGACATGAACACCTTCTGACTTACCGAGTGCAGAAATTACATTTCCTAACGTCACAAGAGATTTATTTATACTGGCGCCTTCCATAAGTCTTCCTTTGCTGTACCGCGGGTCGGCTTTTTCACTGTCAAACAAACATAATATATTTTAAAAATTTTCGTATAAATACCAGATGTTAAAAGAGCAGTGATCATCATGACTACATGCATGTGATGTGGGTCCCATATACTACCTATAGCAAAATTTGAACTTATTCAAATGCACACTAGTTATGGTGTAATTCAGCAACGAACCAACATTATTAACAAATCAATGACACAGAAGACATTTCATATCAGCATATAAATATGCTGACATTCACGTAAGATGATTGCAAGAGGTTAAAGTTCAACCAACCACAATTTCTCCCAGTTTTCTCTCCGGATAATACACATAATAAACACAGGTTGATAATAGAGGAACCTGCAGTTAAACCTAATCTCACATCCAGTTAACTTACTGAATTCAAATTACAATGGAAAACAAGAAACAGATTATCCGTTTAACCAACATAAAACATTGTATCCCATAATTCCCTGGTTCAATCCCGGAAATTGATAGTTCCTCTTTTAAGAAAGATGTGTTGGCAAGACGATGTGAATGAACAATGGTGAATTCACCTTTTAATATATTCAAACAAAAATATTTAAAATACTATGAGCCTGGTGCATAAATTTTTTTTTTTTTCAGCAGTCATATCCCTGGGAAAAACAATGCTCTTTTATGGGGATTATATAATTACAAATTAACGTACGTCATATTCAAAGGTCTGAAAGCGCCACAATGAAAATTATTGTAAACTTACCTGCCAGCCAAGTCAACTAAATTAATTTTACTGACTATTTCACTGGGCAGATTGTCTTCTAGTTTTGCCTGAAACAACAACAATAGAAGAAATTAAAGATGTTTCAATTATTACTCAATTTTATATTATAGATTTTCTGGTCTGGTTAAAGTGGGGGGGTAGTCACCTGCACATGCTCAGGTATTCAGTTGTAAGTGACAATAACAACACATGCTAAAAATGGGTAAATGCTTGTTTGTAAACAACAACACGCTATGGCCATATGCCACGTGCTTAAGTGATGACTCCCCTGGCTTGTACAGCTAAACAGATGCATCCAATATCGAAATCATCAAAACTGAACCTCTATTTAACAATTCTAAATATGATGTCTCAAATACAATGTTCTGATCCTATCAAATGTTTATAAAAAAACAACCCTCAAAATACAAAAATCCTGAGCAATGGAATCATTAAAGACTTCACTGAGATTACTTCACTGAAATAAAACTGATAGGAATAATACAGGCACTAGAAATGGATCAGTTTACAAATCTGCAAATGAAGTATGCAGTACTGTGTAACATTTCAGTAAATGGGCTGCTAATATTTCGTCATCTCAAAAGATGAATGACAGGCACAGCATGCACTCTCTCGTCTAAAAGGTTATGATATAATTATGCAATAACAGTTTTAAATTATCACATCCAAAAATATCTTCCCCATCATAGTGATTTGAACATGTACTGTCCTCAATGGGTCATCAAAGGTCATCGCCAAGCCAACAAGCCTGAGAGGCAGATTCATTCGATGGGTAAACAATGAATTGGTAGATTTCTTTTATCAACTTATCCCCAAAGTACAGCTCGAACTGCATTTGTAATATAACAATAGCGCCACAATGTCCACTTTTCTAGATCATGGCTACAGGCCGGTGATCACGTTCCACAACAAAACTAGGCATTAGTTCGCACTATAGCCCAGACAAATTGACTTTCACACTTGAATTCAGCATTAACGCAATAGCCAGCTATCATTCAGCGCCGACAGCAGTTTCTCTTTACCACAATAGATTGATGTGGGGGTCTTGATTTGTTGATCTTTGTGTTGCTAGGAACCCAAAGAGTGTTTTTCACTTATGTGGTTGAGAACTTCAAAAAAAATCTGTCGTTGAGAGATGGAGCCAGTGATCTCCAAATTAAAGATAGTCATACCACTGTAAATCACTTTCTGTTTGGGGTTGCATTGAACAACAATTTGAACTTAGACAGCAGATTGATGAATGGCATGATCCCAATATTGTGTTCGTAGCATAAATCACAAACGACCACTAATCATAAACAATAATCACTGAATTGTAATAATGGCATCATAGCAAACAACGAAAACAGACAACGCAATAAAACAATAAACAACAAATTTTATCTCTCCACCATGAAATTTATCTAGACTGAGCCATAGGTGTTTTAAAAGCGCACATGTCACTCAAGATAAGTGAGTCAGCACGCTTGATCATCAAAGAATACCCCTTACTACATGTAATAGGTTGTTGACAACTGATACTGACGACTGATGATACACTCACCAAAGATAACAGAATACTGCTGAAAGATTGACAAAATTAATGGAGGGGTGAAAGATATTTATTTGGTGTATGCGGTGACCCATTTAAATTGAAACGGTACTTCAGGAAACTGGGACACATCCCCTTGAGAAATCCAACCAATTGTCTATAAGCTCCCACAAGTAAGTTTGTAAAAATACACAAGGCTATTCACAATTGCATCTTGGCATTATAGAGGATTATCCCTGACGGGTAAACAGCAGCTTACCTGAGTAAAGTTTAGAGTAAATATAGCATGTGATCTGCTGCTTGCGTCGTGCATTTGTGTCGCTGCAGTCGTTCTATTAGCATTGCCCTTGTCTATGAGATTTTGAACAGCAGCCAGGTCAGGCACGTTGTGCCAGGAAAGGTCTGGAAAAAAATTAAAAAACAAGAATAGAAAACAAGATAAGTACCTGTAGTGGTTGCCAGACAAAACTTAGATCCCCCCCTAAAGGGTAAATATTTTCAATGGATTTGAAGTAGGTGCTGATAACACTAGATCTTACTCATTCAGTTTGACAATGACATTCTCAGTTTTAACATTATGTGACACAGATAAACCTGTCACAGGTATACTGCAATGTTACGTGTACCCCTCTTCTAATACAGCTGTTTGATTGACCAATAGGAGGTCAGATCTCACATCACATGTTGATCATATGACAGAGAGTCTACAAGGGAAAGTAAAGGTTAAGGACTAAGAAATCCCACGATCAGTATGTGTCACTCCTGAAGACTTCAATTGATGTTGCCCAGACCAACTTAATCAGTTGGGGTATTTTTAACAGATCAATAATTTTTCCAATTATCAAGACTAATTGGTTTCAAACTACAAGCATAATCCATAATGATAAGCAACTGTGAGTGATCAGCCTAAAGGCACACAGTGTACTGGTAATATTTTGATTCACACATACATAATATATGTCTAGCATTCCTGTTTTGATGAAAACCCAGCCAACACCCCTGCTCCCTCACACCCCCACCAATATAAAAAAAACTATTGCAATGTTTTTTTCAGGATTTCAGCATATAGATTTGGTGTTCCCTACCCCAGGATGGCAAGTAGTAAATTGCACTAGATTGAGTTAACATACCTTGCACATACGGTCCTTCTTTTGGGTGCTCTCGTACTTTAAGTGTATATGTGTGTTTTCGGCGGGCATGCAACAGATCACGTACTCTTTCATTGTAAATTTCTAAAAAGCTACAAAAATACAGGAATAGAATGTAAACAAGTTAAGTGTAGATTTCAATAATTCCAACAAACCTAATTATAGAAATGTCTTTTTTTTTGGCAACCTAAGGGGAACATAATAGTCAAGTTTACATTTCTACAGCAAGCAATAAACATCAGCAACCAAGCATATTGCTTTTCTTCGTTGTCGTTCCTATCCATGGATGGATCTTTATAAAGCTTGGTTTTGGTATGTTACTTTGCATTCAATTTCATAATACACGGTATTTGAGCTCGACAAGGAGTTCAATGAGCACCACTTTCTCCCCTGTCATATTAACATTCCGCAAAAGACCCTTTTTAAAAAGAACCTGTTCATAACAAAGCCAAGTAATGAGGATTTTCTTTATTTCTTGAGTGGGCCAGCCTTGAATCACACTTGAAACATGATCAGTTGGCTAATAATAACCAGATTCACAAGAAGTAGGACGAGGTGGGACACACAACAGTGTTACAGCTTTAAACCTGACATGGTATGACCTTGTTTGACCTACCTGACTTCGGTTTTGAAAGTGATACCCTCTTCTAAAAAGTCGTCTACTCGGCTGCAGAGTCCTTCGCATATCCTGGGGATTAAACCGAGCTCCCTCTAAAGTTCAAGTGTGAAACAAACAGTAGCCAATGAGTGAGTCACATTATGCATATTAATGTCAGGATATGAAACACAATATTCTAATTTTATAAAATCTTATATAAACTGTGGATTGAAGTCAAAATTTAACTGCTCATGACAATATGTATATAATATAGGAATGAAATTTGACTGCTAGTCTTCAGTATCTAAAATATCTAATAATAAATTATTAATTGTTGGAAAATTTAAAATATAAGTAACTACATGACATGATCTAGCTGATTCCAAATTCATAAAAAACCACAACTGACATCCTTACTTGACACACGTACATGTAACATTGCAGACGCTAGATCAAAATACACAAAACTATTGATTTCAAGGCCCATGATTTATAGCCTGTAATAAGAACTGGGAATTCTAGAAGATTTATAAATATTTTTTTAATCACAATTAAACATCCCTTGATATTTATTGAATGATTTAAAAAATCGTCAGCATAATAACAAGTCAAAAGTGAAAACTCAGTGCCTGAAGGTCACCCGTACTCGTTTACATTTCTTTCAGCACGTTCTTGACTTATATCAGTTCCGATGGTATCCCATAGAGACTACAATTACCCTAGTCTGCTTTTGTGCCTTAATTTAGTATTCATATATATATTGCCACATTGAATTGCATACGGTTGCTCTATAACAAAAACTAATTCAGCTGTGGTATAATTAGCACGGGTTACAGCAATCGTCTTATTCCAATTCAGTGCTTCTTTATATCGATGTCAAAACAACATGGTGTCACCTTTATGCTCACGATGTTTCAATATGCTTTCAAAACTAACACCTCAATATCAGCCTTTCATCAGCGAACCACTCATGCATCAGCTTCAACGTATTGCACCACACCATAATGTTTGCAATGACATATGAGAGTAGAACACATTCAGTTTGATGAGTTTTCATTTTACTATTGGAAGTATGCGTGGAAATGAGCAACTCTATCAGGACGTACTGTTAGCAACTTTTACTAAATAGTAAAAAAAAAATTTTTTTTATCATTTTGTGTAAATAAGATGAAAAATTTATTCCATCAATTTGCAGGTAATGAATAATGAAGGTAGAATGGTACCTTTTTTCTCATTGAATAGTTAAAGGTCACAAAACATTATGGTGAAACAGGTAGCAATTTATTTTGATAAAAGTATGCAAAAAAAACAAAACAAATTCAGGTAGGATGAAAACATAAACCTTACCGGTTTTCCCCCCATCATTGTGTAGGATTTCCCCGATCCTGTCTGTCCGTAAGCAAAGAGACAGGCATTGTAACCTTCGAACGCTGCATCCAGTATTTCCGTGCCGAGATCTTGAAATATCTGTTGAAAAAAAAAAAGAAAAAAAATATTATTATCATTGCAGAATGGGAATTATTTATTATTGAAATCTATTGTTTTTAGTTACATTCATCAGGTGTGTAATCTTCCAAGTAGCTGGAAGATTCAGACCGTTCACAGTCATATCAACTTCTATTACATGTTGGTCGTTACCCCTGCCACAATTTGGTCTCATCAATCCTGCAATATTTTGGCTTTAACCTCAAAACAATCTAATCTCCAACAATACAGTAGTAAATATTATAATAATTCACAATACCCTTACAACTTAATTAAAATAAATAATATGTATTAATTAGATCACAACAAGCTGAGTTCATCTCGTTCATCTCAAACTTTGTCAGCTCTTACGTATAATTGACTTAAATGAGGCATCTAATTTTCCTAATTTTGCAACTAATGTACAATCAGTAACAAATATAACAAATACTATGGCTGTGTTTGTCACGTACTTCCATGGATGCAGTGTCACGAACCATGCATTAAGTGAGATAAAATGAAATGATCAGTGATAACTGAATTTAATGACATTGATTTTTAGGCCAGCGAGCTCGTCTCGATTCTGTTCGGTGTAACCTACATATTTTGATTCCTGAAACTAAGTATTGCTTTACTATAGTGTTAGAATCCAGAATACAAAGACGCTTTTCAGCAAGGACAACAGTGTATAGTGACTATTACACATAAATACAACACAGACTTAGTAATAATTGACCTAATAACACCTTGGTACAATACGCATTCAATTGCAAAATACTTGCAAGAAACAATGGGGAAACGTAGGCGACAAACATGACTGGACACAATGCCTGTTTATTCCACGATGCTAGATGTGCGTGATTCAGAAAAAAGAAATTGACATTAGCTTAAATGGTCAATATTGAAAGGCCCCTAACATTGGGAACTGCTAGCAGAGAAGTGGATCTTTTGTAAATTTGGTAGGTTGGATTGGTGGTTAGCAGCATGCTGGGAAATAATCGTCATGTACAACAGTTTGCACAGCATTTCTTTCAGGGCTTAAAATAAAAAATCATTAAAAATATTATCAAAAAAAGAATCTTGATAAAAGTATATCATATTTACTAATGTAACATATTTTGTAAATTATAGTTTAAATTTAATTTTATGTACTTTTTTGAATTTCAGTGCATATCAGATTGATAGTAGATATAGTCATAGAGAAGAATTTAAGCCAGCAAGATGTTGAACTCAACCGAGAGCAACAAAAATGAACAATCAAATACGGTAATTGGCTGAAGGTGGCTAGGATAGCACATTAAATGTTCATACCATTATAAAGGTTATGATAGGAAGGTGGAAACATAGCCGTGTCACATAGTCCCAAACATGCAATATGACTCTGTGGCAAAATGCACTTATCGCCAGTGATATTCAATGCCAAGAAACATGTCAGCGGACACAAACATTTTTTTTTCTTTAAATAGCAAGAAAAATGAACATTCTGTTCAAGATTGTCAAAATGACTCTACAATAAAACAAAGCAATGCTAAGAAGCCATTAAAGTATCTCAAACCAGGTACAAATACATGTGAAATGGACAACCTTTTGAATTTAATATTTTACTATTGTGTGAAATGCATTGTGTTATAGAGAGTTCCAATTAGATACCGATATCCAGTTCAGTAGCCAGACTATAATGCACATATTATTATATTACATGGGACCTCGTTCCTCATTGGTCTATATCAAGGTGCTCGAACTTAAACCCTTTTATATCCATCTCTACAAGGAGAAATTTCTGGCAAAGAGCCAATATTGTTGGCCTACGAAATAAAGTCTATGTTCTGAATAACATTGCAGCAATATCTTTTGATTTTGTTTTTTTACTATTCAACACTTCAAACCTGTAGGAAAAGCTAATATTTGCCTTGAGGTGGTTTTCTTCAAGAACTTTCTTTTTTCTTTTTTAATACAAAGGAAAGTTTTGTACTTGGTTTGTCTAATTTGAAACACAGTGGACAGCACACAATTTTAAAAATTTAAACCAGTTTAGTCGACAAGTAGCAGCTCTTTTTGTGCTCAAGAAATGCTTAGTAGGAAATAATCTGAACTCAAAAACTCAAGAGTAAAGTTCAATTGTGTTTTTCAACAATACCTATTCTTCTAAAGTGGACAAACTTAGATGAAAAAAAATCAGAGAGAAAGAACAAAAAGGAAGTGATTGCTCAGTGACTTTGAAAGAAGACGATAAAACCTTGACATTAAGCATACTCTCAGAGAGGATGTTCTTTGACAATGTCAAAGTTTGTTTTGAATAAAAGAATCCTCAATAAATGGCTGGTATATATGTACGTATGCCACCCATGTAGTGTCAAGACATAACACTACAATCAGTCATGGTAACACAAAATGTATTACATGTACCGGTTGTGGACTGAACGGGTATAATAGTACAATCTAAAACTTTAGTGGCTAATTGACAAAGACATAATTTTAAATATGACACTTTATATTGATATGCAAATTACAAAGTTTCCCTAATAGTAAAAGCTTCTGTATATAAAATGTTACCACTTGATGTGGGAGTTTATTATGTTGAATCAGAAAAATTATATGTGTATGCAAATTAGGTCATTAAATATTCAAGGTTAACAACAATTAATAAAATCTCACTGAACTTGAAATTCTGTGGTAGCAAGTTTAAATCTAACTTGCGTCAGTTGACTGATAGGTACCAAATGTAAAAAAAAAAAAGATGGAAATCCAATTTTGTACCTTCCCATATTATAAAATTGGTTTTTCATTCTTACCCACACACACAGAAGACATTGTCAAAGAGATAAACGCTGCTAAGAATCAATCAAATAAACAAACGTGGGCATGTGTTGGACCCTATCAAACATTTGTTAAATAACAAAAAACAATTTCAAACAGTGGAACCGTTCAACCCAGGAGCATTAGAAATAACAAGCGGTTTCTTTTTTTTTTTTTACTAAAGATCTGAATAGTAGCCGTCACACTGTGCCAGTTTTCATGACGAGTCAAACAAAATCTTTCTCGGCTGCTGCTCTGATATCGCTACTCAGGCACCATGTGTGTGCCAAGTATTGTATTCACGCTGAGGTGCTTTCCATTGAATCATGTGATCGACCTCAAATTACCTGCAACAAATGAGGCAGTGTTCATTACATGCAACTAGCCACCCTGTCTGAAATCTCCTATTGTTTGCGCACTATCCTTACACAATGTCCTGACAAAGACAACTTATATAATAATACATGGACTTGTTTCCATAACAACTATTCAGAAATAAGATGGTATGTTGAACAAAGACAAGGCACCTGTACCGTGAGATGGAATCCTATATTACGTGCAATTGACGTAAGTAGTGCATAGACCTCCAAAAACAAGCATGCGTAAATTATGGAACAGTTGATTTCAAATTACTGGTAAACTACATACACTAATTTAAATGAAAATGAAATAAATTCAGAAAAAGAAACCACTGTAATTCTTTGTTGTAGGCAGCATGCAAAACTAGAGCATTCACTTCCGGTTCAGTATTATCGTATTTGTTATTAGAAGCCTATCTCCAATAAAAGCTGACATAAGCCAAAAATTGATATTTTGACCATAGACACACCTGTGTTATTTACATATAAAGTGCATTTGTTAATAGTAGAGCAAATCAATAGGAGGAATATGTCACGTAATAACCCTCCAAGAGATAAAGGTGACGTTACCTCTCACCTTGCTATTCTAATGATATCAGTTCATCCCAGGATGCACCCAGATAGCGTATGATAAAGCCACAGCAGACAAAAGATAATACGGACATAGCCACAATAGAGTGACAGAAAATAATCATTTTTATTTTTCAAGTGTTAGTATATTTTCATTGTTATACCCATACAATCACCTAGCATGCCAACAGAGCTGTTCAACTCAAGTACTTCTACGCACTGACTACTCCATGTTAAAGCAAGAATTCAGACTGGCAGTGAGTGACCTTTGACCTTGACATGCAGCAGCTATCACAACCATCCCAAAGCACATGCCCAAATGTCACACATAACAATAACAAAGTCTGACTTTTCACCGTATAAATCTGATTACGGTTTAATTATGAACATATTTTTCTCTACATCATAACCTTCTAACAATTTTATGATCTATCCATTACCATGCTAAAAAATGTCGCCCATATCGAACATGCTGCGTTTACAGCAATCCCTGTCTGTCATAAGCAGCTAGAGAGATTCCATAACAGTTTACAGTAAGTTAGAAAAGGAAACACTAGTAGCTTGACACAAACATTTATTCCTAAACAAATTCATAAGGTTTATGATAAAATATGACGAAATATGATCTGCCCTTGATCATAACAATAAAAATTTAAAAGCACTCCTGAGATAATTATTGCACTTCATCATGGCACAATACTTCACAACAAATCATATTCTTGTTTTAAGATCCATGCAAAAAACTTGAAAAGAGTGGTTGATGTACTAATACTATTCCCTTATGTGGCAACTTGTGAGTAGGCAACAATTACAAGTGACATATTTATGATTATAAAACTCTAAAACTTAATTAATGTACAACATCATTGTCTATTACTCTGTGCATCAAAATCATATTAGTCACCATAGCAACAAAGGAAATAATATTTGGAAATTGAGTGACCTTCAACCTTCTGAACATAAATCTGTGTCTGGGTGAAACATGTGCATTGATACACTGTACGCATGTAGATCACAATAAAAGACCAATAATCTAAAATCTCTGCAACAACATATCCATTAAATAAAACCCAGAGAATATTTACATCTCTAAAGTATATTACCGGTATTATTATTAACATTGGAGAAAAAAGTAAGTCAAGGATACACATAAAATCAGAAAACAATAGCCATTGTCATTCTTGGACTGAACAATGAAACCTCAGGATTTCCTTTCCGTTGGTATAATCCTAACAGCCCTCAGAGAGCTTTGAAGTCAGGTGACCCTTTAAGTACAAT